GGATGTTCCGAGCTTTGTTTACGCGAAGAACAGTGACCATGCCTGGCGCAACGTTGTTCAGAAAGTCTGTGAGTCTGAACTTACTGAGCGAGTCAATTTTCTGGTTGTCAGGTGGGGCATAGAGTACGGTGCATCCGACTTGAAGGTTTGCCCCTTCCTGGAGAGCTGGCGTTTTGTTCGGGCAGGTCTTGCGTCGCTTTTTCCCATGAACGGCCTCATATTCTCCGTCGTCGGATTCCATGGGATCGTTGTCGTGGGTAGACATGATCGTCGATGAGGAGCTGCTGATTGTACCGGTGAGAGCTTCCTTCAGCGGAATTGTGTACCCATCTTTTACGAGCGTGGCGGAACATGCTTGTCCTTGGTCCTCTTCGAGGGCCGCCGGTAGGAGCGATGCCGTGGTGGACATTTTTGCAAATATCCTAGCCTCCTCGGAGGAGGCCCCTTATGCACTGCGATCGGATCTCTCCCTGGTTGTAGGAAACCTCGGAATGTCAGCAAGTAGGATCGTTATACAGTTAGTTATTTAGCTGGAATTATGAGATACAGACGAAGGTAACCCAAAGCTGTGACGTCGTCGTCCAGGATTAAATTATGTGGCGCTTGGATTAAATTGGGTGGCACTTGGATTAAATTTTCCGTCGCTTGGATTAAAATGAGTAGGAAAGCCTGTAGTTGTCCCGCTTCCAACGCGAGTTTCACAGCTTCGATAACACTACGGCGTTTTGTGAGCAGCGGAGCATGCACACGCAGCCAAAGAAAGGTGGAAGGTAACACCCGCGCGTTTCAGGCCCGGCGTCCAAAGTGGATGCCCTGTCCTTCTCGTTCTCTGCACTGGTTATACACCATTCCAAGAACGAGCCTTTAGGCGGTGCTATCTCCGGCGTTCGTTTTTATGACGCGTGCTTTGCTCGTTCTCCGAAGCGGAGAACATATGCGCTCTGGGCAGCGGCGTAGACCTTTCATTTTCCCGGGGGGTGCAGGCTGAGAAGTTCTCCGGGGGTGATTTTCTCCGCAATTGTTTTTACACCGGCAATTATCAGTAGTTTACTTTAGGGGGTACATTTTACAGCGTATCTATATCGCTACGTGTCCGTCGCTGTGTGTCAACGTCAATCACCGTGCAAGCGTAGTCGTGTGTTCATCGCCGGTACCACGGCGCATGCGCTGGCGAGCACAAGTCTTCTCACGCGACCACTTGCCGTTGTTGCCAGGCGTGGTGCAGCTAAGACACAACTATCAGCGCCACGTCGGGGCGCTGCACTTCAGCTATGATTGTAACAGCAGTGCTCTTGGTCCATTACTTTTTCTAATTTTTATTAACGACTTGCCAACAAATATTTTCTCACGCATGCGGCTCTCCGCGGACGACTGTATCATCTATTGCTTCATCGGGCGCGTTAAGTTGTGACTCCACGACTCCGGTTCGGGTAACTCCGTCGGAATCGCTCCTGAACGGACTTTTGGAACAGCTCCGGATGGAGCAGGCGCCCTCTATATGAATTTCCGGTTGTTTTATTTATCTTTTTTTTTTTTTTCTGGTGGGATTTTGCAAAATGGCAGGCTGCTGTGGAAGCAGACCAAGCGGACGTAAAAGTGATCGATGCCGCGTTACCATCTCGCCAGAACTGGAGATTGAAGCTAACGAAAGCACGCTGGGATTCCATTTCCCATGTATTTTGTCAATAAAGGCAACGGGGGCGTTACTTTGTTTACATGCCACTACTAAAAGCTCGTTACATGGCACGTAAAAAGTGTCTCGGTAAAAATCATGCCCCGGGAGGTGGGGAGGCTCTGCCCCCCCCCCCCCCCCCCCCGGATCTCACCAGGGGGGGGGGGGGGCACGAGCCCCGATGCCCCCCCGTAGTCTACGCCTATGGTGCTGGGCTGTTGTGATCATTCACAGGGCTATGATTTTGTGAAGATTAGAAAGGTATAGCTGCTTTGCACACGCGCCATATTACTGCCGCTATTACTGACCTTCTCTTGTCTTACCGAGATACCACTGAAACGGGCTTTGGCGAGTCTCCACAAAGGCCAATGCTGGAGAGAAGGACACAGTCGGATCTAAAATGGCAATAACCTTTGCTGTTGTGGTATGGTGGAGCGAAGTCATCAGAATAAGAGGAAACAAAAACTGAAGGTCGGTTATAGCGGCGCCCATGCACCAGCTGCTGCAACCAGATTATAGGAGGTATCCATATGTGGTCCTCATCGCGAGATGTGTGCAAAGCCACTTATCGTTAGCAATGATCAATATTTGAGACGGTGCGAAATGAATCTGGACATTGTTTTCTGTGAGCCCGCGCCTAACGACAGAACCCACAAATATACTCCCTGTGTACAGTGACAAACTGCAAAACCCGACAAGGACCAACCTCAAGCACAACCTCAAGCACACACGGGAAGTTACCTTTGGCAGACTCGCGATTTCTCGGTACTCGTGAAATAAGCGGGAGAGACTGAAAGCCTGCCACAATACGTGCACCTTCGTGCAACGTTCTTAGAGCTATCAGTTGTCAAGCTCCATGGAAGAGCGTCGTTCGTAAGTGGTTCCTCTCTGTTGCACGCACGCGAGCATTTACGGTCGAATATAAGGGCGAATAGCGTTCCTAGCGCCACCAGCGACAACGCCTTTACGGGCCACGGAGAGGGAGCGTTTTCGGACGATGCTTTTCTTGAACGAACTTTAGCGTAGACTATGTATAGGGTGTCCCAAGTCATTAGACTCGATCTAAAAAGGACCGTAAAAATCGATGCCTGCACGTAGCAATCTAAACTTTTTGTCAAAGGTGTATTTCACAGGTAGGTTCTTTTTTGTAAAATTACAAAGAATCGCACCCTTTCTGTAAAAAAGTAGAGCCAAGAAACCTGCCAGGCTCAACGGCGGGCGGCGACGCAGACGACCAAGTCGAGTTGCGGGGTGCGTTTTGCGCGCGTATTGATGGATGGCGTCGTGAGCAGCGTCCGAAGGTGTAGCCGATTAACGAAACAAAGCATTCGACACGCAGACGAAATACGTTGGTAGAAAAAACGCCGTCGTTATGCAAATGCGTTTTTCTTTTCTTTCAGTTTTGCTTTTATTGTCCGCATTTATTTTTTAACCGAAGATTGATTACAGAAATATTATGTTCATTTGAATAAACCATGGTGGTCGCAAGCAGTCTTGTTAAGGAGGTAGCGCCATCTACCAATACCACCGCCAAACCCGCCCCGATACTCGATTGGGTCGTCTGCGTCGCCTTCCGCCGTTAACCCTGGCAAGTTTCTTGGCCCTATTTTTTAGAGAAAGAGAGCTACACTTTGTAATTTTACAAGAAAAAAACCGACGTGTGAAATATACCCTTGACGAAAAGTTTAGACTGCTACGTGCAGGTGTCGATTTGTACGGTCTTTTTTTGGAACGAGCCAGGTGACTTGGGACCTATATATATCAGAAACACAATAATGGAATCACTTTCGACCGCAAGCAATGTGCATCCAACGTTCTACCGGTTTTGCTGCTTCTGTCCACTGGGCGGGCTGATATAAAGCGCTGCATGGATTTTATAAACAAGTACCGCCAAGCTGGTGCGTGATGGGACGTACTGGAGCCAAAAAATGGCGGACCGCCGCCGCCAATCCAGTCTGGCGCGGCGGCGCGGCGCCGGAATCTGGTGGAGGCTAAACCAATAAGAGCGAACGGCGGCGCGTCACCGGCAGCCACAGCAGAGCATTATGAGCGTGCGCGTTTGGATGTGGGATGCGCCATAAGCCCAAAATGGCGACACGTCGCCGGCATCCAATAGGAAAGCCCGCGGCACAATCAGACGACGGCGGCACTTGGATAATTCAGGATATCCAGCCCTTTAGGCTGGATATCCTGCGTATGCCACCGAGCGGACGCGCCACGAAAATGCACCACTGCAGGCGTTCTACGCAGCTTGCCAACTGATGCTGACCGTTGCCTTTGTGTGCATGGTGCACAGGCTTGAGTTCGGTCGTTGTCGGCGGCTGCTGTTTGTCGCTCTGGTGAGACTAAGCGCGAACGGAGCCGTAGCTGTAAGCACGCGCATATTGCCTTAAACGACGGTTTTGTTACCACGGACGCGTGTGCGCGGCACGGTCTCAAAGGCTGGAAGATAGCGCTGGAGGCAGGGCCTCTATTGAATTGTTAACTTGTTCCCGACTACAGCATATAAAATTCTAAACAAAAAAAAAAAAAAAGAAAAAAAAGCCTCCTAGCCGCTTTTATTTTTAGATTTCGTGAGTGTGGCGCGTGATTTTCTCGCTTTCCGAAGCGACGAACATGCGTGTGCTGAGCTGAGGACTTGTAGGTACTGGAATGGTGTATAGACAGTACATCTCATTGCAGAAATGAGCTTACGGCCTGTGCCCTGCTCAGTATTCGTGCATATGGCGCCTGCGGGGCTGGGAAGATTGCACACTAGCTTTGATTTTGTAAGCATTGAAGCAGTGTTAAAGTAAAGAATGAAGCTGGTTTAATGAGTTGCTAATCTTCAAATAAAACAGAAACAAAACGGGGACCAGTGTGCGCACACTCAGAGCGCTTAAATGTTAATGTCTTCGGTCGTCAAAAAGTTGATTTTTTATGTCAGTGAGCAGTATTGGTTTTTGCTCAGCCAGTGATATAAAGACCCTTATCGTACAACCGATTCGTAGGGGTTGAACTATACCTTTCTTTGTTATCTTGAGTAAACAACATCACGAGTGAATCAATTACTCGTCATCAATTTGTTCTTACAATATTGTAACAATTTTAGTGCTGGTCTCCGGTAGATTACTAGGCATTGAGATTAATAAATTTGTTTTCAATATTACATAAGCTAATTGATAGACCGACTACTTTATTGATTCATGAGGGGGTCGACTCACTCGCCTGTGACCTTTCTTTCCACTGAGACTGCCTCCCCTGTCATAAGGAATCTACCAATTACCAGTCCAAGTGAACCAGAAAGTTTATTGCACTCTAACACACTCTCGCGTTTCCCTTCTGGCAGGGCATCTGGAAGGGCATTCTCCGCTGCGATGTGGACCAGGAGACAGATTTCTTCAAATGCGGCGCTGGTTCCATGGACGTCATCAGGTAAAATACACATAATGACAAATAAACTAAAATTACAATCAAAAGAAGTGTTTAACAAAGCGAACTTGGGCCCACAATCAGTAGTAGTGTCCACGGCACTCGGGCGGAAAGAGGTAAGTTACCCGGATGTGCGAAGAGTCTTCTGAGCATATCTGGGTTTCGGGATGTCTGGGAAATAAGGCACATATTGTCTCTTCGTATATCGCCGCTGATACGCGGTTGACTCACTAATATCATTGCAGGCTTGTGGAGGAGGTGAAGGACAGCTGTGGCCTGGCTCTTGAAAACGAAGACGTGTACATGTCCACCGTCTTCGAAGACTTTGCCAAGACGGCGGTGCTGCGCAGCCGCGGAGGTTCGGGCACTCCCACGCTCGTCTTCGACCCCGTACGTGTATAAGCGCCTCTCTCGAAAGGCACTGGCTTCTGGTTTTGTGTCATGGTCAAAATAAGTATCAAAGAACAACGGAACGCGTGTCTTCCGGAGCCTGCTGGTCCATTTGGCGGAAATCGGTGGTACTGCCCCGGCGAGATTATTACGGGTATTTCGTGGGGTGATATTATGTATGCCCCCGCTTAGACGTGGTGACACACTCGCCCCTTCGGTGGACGGCGCATCTTTTGAATCGTTGCTCTTATTAAACAAATGACCCGTGGCAATTGCATGGGAATGACAGCATGAAACACTTACCCTTAGTCATTTGCAGTGCGAACTTCTAGAGAATTCTAGTTGGCCGCTGCATTATGTTATATGTTTACCGAATGAATAAATGAAGATTGCCTGTTATCAGAAGACCATGGTTGCAGTTATAACGCGAAAGTCATACTGCCAACGATTTATCACAGAGTGGCGACCCCTTCTACAAATTCAGGAGAGTCGACGCGATGCCAATAATTTCACCGGAGGAGCGGCAGGGTGTGATATAATATTTTCTTGTAGCAATATTGTGTTTGACCTTTAACTAGCGCTAGCACTGTGAGAAGGCCCACTATTGCACAAAAATTATTTTCACAGATGGCAACTAGAAAGGTCGCGTAAGAAAGGTGCCATCTGTGACGACTCATAAATATAAAATCTATCGCGATAAATGAGATAAACGAGGCGCCGTGAAAATTGCCTGGTTCGCAGCTAAGTAGTTCTTATATTATTTTTAACCATGACAGCACATGCATAAAGACCGGTGTCAACGTGCGCATTGAGTGCATTCAATATCGCTACAACTCCAGAAACTATAAGCGCTGCAGCTTTTTGGGGCGGCCGTGCGTTGCTGGTGCATTGCATCTTGCACAGAAATAAAATATATTGACTAATTATTAGAATTGTTCGCTTTGAATAACTTTACCTCGAATTAATATAATAGCTAGAAACTACTGCCTTTATGACCACTTCATTTCATCTTTGTAGAAATTTGTTGAAGAAACAAAAACGACGTAAATGACAAATGCTACGCAATGGTAAAATTCCACTAAGACACATTCAACAAACGCTTCTCCAGTGAAATATTTTCTTCCAAAATGGCGGAAAACGGATGCCTGTGAACTTGCGGCATTGCCAATGATGGCTGTATTTCTCAAGAAGCCGTTTTTTTAAGTTAGTGAGCAGTGTTGGTGTTTTGTTTATCTAGTGGATCTATAGGCCATATAAAAATGTTTTGGTTGCAAGGGTGGCACAAAATGTGCGGCACTATTTTTATTTTCTGGGTTTTTAAGGATAAACGGTCTTCTCCATCGTTGTATCAGATCTGTTAGGGCGTCCCGTTCTACATTTAGTTTCAGACCTTTAATTTTGAGATTTTGCTTGCTTGTTGACTCTGCTAACTTCTTTTTTTTATTTAATAGTTTCGTTGTCAGGATTAGTAGAAAGTAAGAAAAAATTCTCTTGACTTTTAGTTGGAAATGTCTCACCTACCGTAATTAAAGGTGCATAAGTCGCGTATTATTTTCCCGGATTTTCATCGGTGCGGTTTATACAGTGGCGCGACTTCTGTGTGCTACCTTTTAAAATAAGCATGGACATTAACGGTGGACATTTGCCACAGGAGCTATATTTCTCGTTTGATTCGTTGGTGAGAACATAGACACTACAGCTCACGTTTGTCCGTATATCGCGATCATAATACGTGTATGTGGGCTTATTAATGCAGTTTTGTCGCACTGACAGTTGAGAGTAGTGCGTCTTCAAAAATATTCGACTTATATACCAACTTTTCCGGAAAAACGGCCGTCTAAAGGGGGTACGACTTATAAAACGGTTGACTCATAGACCGAAAAATGCTATAATTTTTCTTCTCCGAAAGTGTGTAGAAAACGTTTACTCAATGTCGAACCTTCGTAATCCGTCCCGCTATAGCCAGAATGAGATGAGTAGAAAACCTCACAGTCTGTGGGGAATAATTAACGAGCGCAGTATAGGCGAAAAAGAACCACAGACCTGTAACCTCATTAATTGTTTTATTAGTCACGGGCAATAGGGTTGGTTTTCAAGTAAAGGGTATTAACGCGAACGAGCAGCTGATGGAGCCACTGTTGATTTTCTGTGTCGATCAGGTGGTGGTAAAAGCCAACGGCATGGACGTGAGCTTTGCCACGCAGCTCTTCATCAACAACCAGTTTGTGGACAGCTCCTCGGGGAAAACGGTGGACATCGTAAACCCAACGGACGAAAGCGTGAGTTTCTTTTTCTTTTTCTCAGTTCAAGAAAGATGCATATCTGTTTTTTTTTTTCTTTGACCGTGTTAAGGCCTGCCCAAACAGGACACTTCAGAAATCGAGAGGCGAGCGACACGACTCCGTCAAACAATCGTGGAAGTTGAAGCGTTCGGCAGTCGGGCAGTCCGATATATGTTTGAACACTACCGAGCAAACATCACGATTTTCCTCCTCGGTTCCCCCGCTTTTTGGTGACCTCGGTGTTCGACAGACTTGACGTCCTACCCACCTGCTATTGTCGTTCATCTTGTCTGGCGGGCCCTCGTATCCTCGGACGTGTTCCAAAGTTTACTCGATCTTACTCTAGGGTAAGGGTTTTGTAGCTTTGCGTTCGAAAACCTACCCGCGTCCAGCGTCGCTCTATCTGTTTCATCACGTGGCACGTCCCGCCGGAGTAGCTCGGATCGATTTGGGCAAGATTTCGAACATGGCCCTTCCCTTTCCCGTTTTTTGGAGCTGAAGAACAAAGCAGGCCACGAGCGATTGACCGACAGCCAACATAGCTTGTGAGTGGCTGTCCGAACCCATGTGATGACCGTACTCATAAAATTTGACGGAGGGAACTCCCCCCCCCCCCCCCCCCCCCCGGCAAAACAAACGGAAAGAAGCGGATTGCCGCACGACTTATGTCAGAGTCGTGTCGTCTGACGATTTCTGAAGTATCCTATTTGGATGGGCCTTCGGTAGGCAGTCCGAAGCCCCAGATTCTATTAGGCTTAGAATGTGAGTAAATGCAGATAATCTATTATCTGTAAGCCTGAAGTGTAAAACTTTTAATATTCTCGAATGGAATATTTCGGAACTGGCGTTCGAATTCTCGGGCTTAAAACTTTCTTTATTTAAACTCACTTTGTAAACCTTGACACGACTATATTGAGTAGGGTTTCAGGAAGGAAGTCTACAAATCCTAAAAAAAGTCAAGCGTAGAAAAGAAAAGGCATCATTTGAAGTACTAAGTCTACTGAATGTAATGAGTAGTTATGATTAATATTGTTATTTTTGTCAAGGAGTTGGCTATCACTGAACAGTCATAAAATAAGTAGACATTTATAATAACTTTTTGTAACCATCTTTTTCGAGTTCACGTTCTGCACCGTATTCAGCCTTTAAAAACATGGCATTATTATACGAGATCACCCATGACTCATCCATAAGACTCGATAGATCCCTAAAACCGACTATGAAGTACATTAAACTATGTACTGAAGGTTGGTTTCGTTAGTTCATGGTGTCAAGTTTGAATATACCAATGCTTATTGAAACGTATATGCAAGCCAAAACTATTTACAGATTTTTGAAAAGCCTTGACAACGGATGAAAAAGGGTACGAACAAAGAACATCTCAAGTGCAGCTACCAATATGTATTGGCAAAGTTTTATTTATACTATCTCGCACTCACGTCTCTCGGCAAATTTGCAAGCACCCCGTGACCGTCAGCTACGGTAGATCTTGACCTCCATTTTTTTTTCCTTCTTTTATCTGTTTCGAGGGTTCGCCGCATAGGGGGCAGAGATAAAGGCGTGGTGCCTGACAAAGCCTCTGCCCCCTAAAGTTCAGCAGCTCAAAATAGTTACATAGGCAGTAACATATTCTACAAAACATTATACAATTAAAATAAAACAAGATAAAAAACAAGGGGAAATAAACACTACATTCATTTGATAAAAAACACTATAAACGTCAGTAAGTGTTGGTCGTGAAAAACCGAAGTCAGTAACAACAAACAAAAAAAAAAACTAGAATGCAATCTTTTGTGCCTCCGACATATCAGCATCAACACCAAGTTCACATGAAGTTGTACAATGAAAATATATATGTGTGAAATTAGCCATACCTAGTGATTATGTTCTTAGTGCAATACACTATCCAAATGAGAATGCGATTTCATTGCCAACCAAGAAACTTCTGCAATCCCTTTTAAAACCAGGGGACGTGTTGTTAAAGGTAAGGTCCAGATCCGTTACATTTAGAGTTTTAGTTGTTTGAAAAATTAAAGTTTGTTGACCATAGTTGGTTCTTATGGACGGCATCGGACATGCACTTAGGCTGTTTGCTGGTGTGGTGTAAAGTCAGTTTTTATGTATCCATAGTTGAAATCTTAAATAATATACTTGGTCTGCCTTAAGCCGACCAACTGTGATGAAGAGTGGTTGTGCCCCGAAATTTCTGGGTGTCACCTTTATAATTTTCATATATTCGTAAGATCTTTTCCTGCAAAAGAAAAATTTTAATATAATTCGCCGCTGTCGTCGTTTTCCAGCCCAGAACACCATAACTAATTTTGGAGTAGAATAAAGAATAATGCAATGTGTGTTTTCACCAAGTAGATATCAAATTCTGTATTTATAAATGCATCCTCTTACCCGGGATAAATCAGCCTTTAGTTTGTTTACATGGCGATTCCATGGTAGGTCCTTAGAAAGCAATAAGCCCAAAACTTCTTGTTCTGCCACTTTATCGAATATTGTGCCCTCGTATATTCCGTTAATGAAACTGTAGTCTTGCTTATTTGCTGGTTTACCTTCACCCAAAGACCAACCCGGCGTGACCCTCGCAATCGGTACGAAGGATCCACCTGATGCTCGATAAGGCGACATAAACAATAAAATCATTTCCTTAAAAAAAAATACAAATGCAAAGAAACTTTTGGGTTGCCCCATCCAGTGTGGTCAACGATTAGCTGACACAATTGCCTACCGAAGCAACCCTGATCGTCTCCTTTATGACTCTTTTTGCACAATTGGGGTTGCACACAACAGTGCAACCCCAATCAGGCAAGTGATCATTGCATTCTTTCACGTGTTTAGCAATCTTAGAGTTCAGAGACCTGTTCTTAACAGCCCTGATATGACCAAGAAGCCTGTCATTTAAGCGCCGTTTTGTCTGCCCCATATACGATAACCCAAGGTCGTCGGAATATCATACACTACACTAACCTGGCAATCAACGGCTTTAAAACTAGTTTAAAACCAACTTTAAAACTGAAATGATGTTCCAACAAACTAAAAGATAGTTTTAAAGCTTAATTGGAGCGCCTGCTGCCTTCAAGATTTCCACAAGTTTTAACTGAGGTTATGGGGTCCTTGTTAAGCATGGTTAAATGAGAAGAGACAAAAGAAAATGCGTTTACAATTTCCTGTAATTCGAAATTAGAGCTTAGCCCTTGAGGAGGAGGGAGGGTACGGAGGGGAGGGTATCCCCCTCCTCCTCCGCTCACATTTAGTTGGAAATGTTCGCTTAATTTCCCACTAAAATTTGAAAACATTTACCCGCTAAAGTTAGCGGGGACACTTTGAGAAATATTTCCCGCAAAATTCAGCGGGATATTGAGCGAAACTTTTCCCGCTGAATTTAGTGGAAAATTAAGCGAAACTTTTCTCGCTAAACTTAGCGGGGAAATTATCTCCCCTTAAATGTAGCGGGGAAATTTTGCGAATATTTTCCCGCTAAGTTTGGCGGGAAAATATTCCTATAATACAACGATCGGTTACTCCCGGTTGCATTATTTTCATGATGCAACGCACGCGGTTATGCCGACGCCAACGGCGACTCCACTCAACCCGGAAACAGGCAGCTGATAGCATGCGCTGTAAAACAACCCCAAAGAGCGGATGAGTCTCCTGGTGGTGGTTGCATACGTCCACAAAATGTCCCACAATCTGAAAAAAAAAGTGGCCAATTGCTGTGAGGTCCCGATGGTATTTTCAGTCCCCCAAAAGATGGCCAGAATTTGCCCTCAAGTGCTCTCAAACATAGAAAAGCGCTCAAAATTCGGGTGCACGAAGCGACATCAGCGACAATTCGTTTCATGCACAGAGGGTGTTGTGCATAAATTACACCTTACGTGTGGTAGAAGTTATGTAGGACAGTCTAGCCCGTGTGTCAACGACCGCCTCCGAGAACACGATTAGTCCTAGTGAGCAAAAGGTTAGGGGGCAAACGAGCTGCTGGTGGTTAAACATTCGACTAAAAACCCCGAGACTGGGACGAGAAGGGACGGACAGATACAAAGTCTCAAACACAGCTGAAATTTATTCGACAACGAAAGGGCTTATGTAGGCATCAACTCCTACACAAAACATTACAGACGAGAGAGATAGAGAGAGAGGGAGAAATGGGGAATCCCGTGCCACAAGCAGTAATTGATTACAGACTGATTCGAATGACTCAGTTTGCTTCCGCCAGAGCCGGTTGCGCTAAGAAACACAGGGAAATAGAAGTCAGTTCCGTGTCGGGAGTAGTGTGCAGGATCTTGTTTGATTGCGGATTATGCCACATAGGACATACCAAGCTCTATATAAAAGATCGTCTCACCGAACACGAACGTTGTGTCAAAAACAAAGATCCATATTCGGAAGTGTCAAAACATCCAGTTGGATGCAATCTTTGTCTACCTAGCTGGGATTCAACCACAATCGTCCTAACAGATAAAGATGACCGGGAACATTTGATAAAAGAATCTATAGCAATCATAAATCATAGGAAGCGGTAAATAATCCATCCCTCACATCGGATACAGAACAGAGAAAGTTCCTACAAATGTGATGCCTTGGCGCGTTGGGTCAAGTGTTTTGTTGCGTCCTAAGGGGTTTTGGTTGCTTTTGTCCGATTTTAAGTTTTATCGAGACCAATTCACTTTGTGTTGGATTCCTGGTCGTTTGGTGCGTTGTCTCCTTTCTGTTTTAGTGTTCCGGCTTCCGCCAGAAAAGTGTAAGCTTCGAGTGATCCTTGAAACGTCTTCCTTTTTGAGTTTTATGGGGACACTAAAAAAAATTGTCTTTTGTTCTTAGTATATGAGGGAGGTCACTGCAACTCATCTCTATTGTAAAGGTTGATTTGTTTTTGTTTTTATTGTAAAAAGGAGGTCACTGTTTCTCAGTTCTATCGCAAAGGTTGCTTTGTTGTAGTGTTTGTGGCACGGGATTCCCCACTTCTCTCTCTCTCTCTTTCTCGTATCTATAGTCGGTAACAGGTCAAGAAGGAAGTGGAAGCCCCTCCCACCTCTCCCCTTTGGCAAAGCGGACGCTGGAGAGAAGGCGACCTCCTCTCCTCCGTACGCTCTGCTGAAGTGGAAAGAGGTGGGAGGAGCTAGCTTCCACTTCGTTCTTGACCTGTCACCGACTATAGTGTTTTGTGCAGGAGTTAATGCCTATATAAGCCCTTTCGTTGTCGAATAAATTTCAGCCATGTTTGAGGCTTTGTGTTTGTCCATCGCTTCTCGTCCCAGTCGGGGTTTTTAGTCAAATTTGTAACTGCTAGTCCCTTCATGCCACCGTAGGAGGACACCGTCCACCTCATTGTCACACCTGCCAATGCACACTAACGTTTGAACAAACGACAATTTGAGGAAAATTTCCAGATCGGACTATCAGAGAAATCCTCTAAGCGTACCATATAGCAACATTAACGACGTGTTCTGTCAGCAAGCCATCGATAACGCTGTATGAGAAGGAAGTGCTCTTTCTAGACAGTCCTTTTAACGACTAGGTGTTACCTGGACCTGAGATATATCCTGCATGTGTGCTCTTGTAGATTTTAAGTTTTCGCAGTTTATTAACATTTTTGTAAATAATCATGGCGCGAATGTATTGTGCGTCGTCCTTTTCTTTCTTTTTTATTTATAAACTTCGTTTTCTTTTGCTTCTTATAAATATCAGTTGCGAGTCAGCGCTTGTGTGTTCTCTTATGTGTGTCTTCCTTGTCCTGTCCTTTGCGCGCTGCTTTTTTACCATGTGTGGGGGAGGGAAGGTTCCTATTGCTTTGTACGAGTTGAGGTTCTCCAGAGGCAACCGATGCTACGAGCTGATGAGCCAATCAGGGAGCATCAAAAGAGCCCCATCATAGTGTCCGTCATGTTTGTGTACGTGTTCTATTATCGCTGAACCAATCACGAACAGAATGGCACTGCGACTTGCGCTCTTCACGCTGCTTGATTCGTCTCATTAGCTCATAGCGTCGGCTGCGTCTGGACCAAGTCAACTCACTGACGTCACGCCACTGCGGTGGCGCTGCTGTCGCTACTGCGCATGCGCAAACGCTTCACTCCTCCCGATTTTGGTTTCTGCGCAAGCGCACTGCCCACACCTTGTGTGGGCAAAGCGGGCTTCTTCGTAAACACTGCGCTGGTGTATAGCTGCTGGTCACGACGGCGTGTGAAAAATTTCCGAGAGACGTGAGTGAGAAATGGTATAAATACGACTTTCAGTCAGTCAGAGTCTTGAGAGCAAGGAAATCAAAGGAAGTGTTGCTGAGCCGGAAGCTCAATGTAATACGACTTTGCCAATAAAGTTTAGTATATAGGTACGTTTGAGGCGTTTTTCGTTTGTCCACAATCGTTCGTCCTCTCCGGTTTTTCCAAAATGTTGCACATGCACCAGTTTGCCTGTCTACTCACTCTATCTTAAAAATGTCTATATTTAAGCGAGGGCTTTAAGTAGGCAAGGATTAATTTAAGAAAGATATTCTATTTTTCTGTTGAAGGTCTGCCTGACTACCACACAGGTGCTCTTTTGCTGTGTACAGAACCCGTAATTTCTATGCAATGTGGATTAATGCAGCAACCATCAACTGTTACAGGTGATCTGCAAAGTGCATTGCGCCACACCCGAAGACGTCAACCGAGCTGTTCAAGCGGCCAAGGTGCGTATCTTCACACATATATGAGAGGAAGGAGTTTCAACAAATCATATTCGGAGTACTGATACTACTTTAGGCGCGCGCTAAAAAAACACGCGTATAAATCACAACGATAGATTTCGATATGAATATCATTTGAAAACATATGATGAAACTCACCAGTACTCAGAGCGTTACCTAGAATTGCCAAGAATTTCGAATTTATGTTGCATTGCATTGTAACTTTGATGTGCAGGCGGCCTTTGAAGATGGCGAATGGGGTAGGATGAGTGCGAGAGACCGCGGCAAGCTGATGTACAGGTGGGTGACTGTCTGTTAGTGCCATGATCGCTGCAGTTTGTTCCATCTGAACGAGCCCGTTTTTTTAGTTCACAAAAATGACAGCGATTTTTATTTCTTCACTCCCTTCCATTTTATGATCCATCCCATGCATTATGCGTGGAATGCGAGCATTAAGGAGCGATCGTATTACGGGCTTAAGTTGCGCAAGTTGGTTCATTCCTTGTGAATGGCGCCAGCTAAACATGAAAAACACACAGAAAAAAATTATAACATTCGCACCGCTGGAGTGATCGTCTAAACCTTTTTAGAAGATATTACAGAGTCGTTTCGGTAAGTGAAGGTTATACTGTTTGTTTACTGCCATCACCCTCCTCTGCAGCATCGGTATGCACTATGCAGACAACAGGCACGTTGGAGATGTAAAGCATGCAGCGTCGTAGCCGGTGCACGTAGAACGTTTTCAGCTGTCGCAGAGGTGGTCGAGATCGGGCTGTGGACCGAGAAGTTCTAGATTCGCTTTTTTTGTGGGGATGAGTTTCTATTGAATTATTTTGGTGAGTGCTTGTGTACATTGTTTTGCTTATTTTTCCATGATAACCAAACGATTCTGTTGTCATGCACTGCTATGAGGTATGCACAACGCAACAACGGGCAAATGGGGAAATTTCCGGAAGTCAGTAGTTTACTCTGTCCATGTCCCTGCGCTGTTTGTTCCCCTTTAAAATGAACTGCAAACTAGCCCATTCGTCAACGCTACTAGGCGTCATAAAGCATTTTAGGCTTTAGTATAAAGTGGGCGAAGTTTACATACGATGACCGTCCGTTTACGTATCAGTCGTTGATTAGTACCGCGCACACAGACTGGCCGACTTGATGGACCAGCATCGGGAGGAACTGGCGACCATCGAGTCCCTGGACTCTGGTGCCGTGTACACGCTCGCGCTGAAGACGCACATCGGCATGTCCGTGGAGACGTTCCGCTACTTTGCCGGCTGGTGCGACAAGATCCACGGCAGCACCGTGCCCGTGAGCCACGCCCGGCCCAGGAGGAACCTCAGCTTCACGCGCAAGGAGCCCATCGGGTGAGCGGCGGCTGAGAGGTACACACTTTGTCGGTGACACCTCGGCTTTCTTGGTTTCACAGTGATGAGTTTGCAGTTCGTTGGATACTAAATAGACATTGGCCTACAACAGGCGTGAATGGACCTACATAATGTCACTGAATAAGTTGCGGTTGAGAATAATGGCACTTGAGCTATCTTGTTGCTTAAATTCGCCCTTGCCAGTTATCTTAAGCATGATCGGAAATCGAAGAAAACGCTTTTTCGTCCTACAGAAATGCTAACACGGCCCTCGTACAAAGAAAAACAATATTGCCTGAACTTCTTGAGATCTGTTTAAAGCTTAAAAAGTGACATTTTTGAATTGTGACAATCGACAATTGTTACCGCTTTGTAATAGGCAACAAAATGGCGCCGTCTACAAGGCAATCATGGACTGGAATTTCGATTTAGTGACTACGTCTTCATCAAACAGACATCCGAGTACTGCACTAGGACTTGTAGTTGAAATTAGGGATAAGTGAACAACCCTGGTCGAGGGACCTTTCTATGGAGCTGTGCTGTGCTATAGTCTCACACTAAAACTATGTATGCAGGAGTCTACGGTTTCCAACCTCACATCTTGTGCTGCAATGGCCAGTTAACCGCCCTGCGCGCGGACAGAAAAGATATGCTTATCGCGGCATGCACATCACACATGCACATAACTGAATCATGCAAGTAAATGTAAATGAAAAAAAAAATCTGAAAGCATAATATCACCGGTTGTTTGTATGCGCACTGAAAAAATATTATATATTAACACAACATAAATTAGGCAAATGCGCAAACACTTAGTATGCGAGCCCATAGAAAACTACTTGAATATGACAGTAGGCTTAACGTTTGCTTCACCTAAACAATTGTAACTGTACAACAACGTTGTTGCTGTTTGAGAACGTTTGCAAGATTCTCTTCAAACCATGCTAGAACGGAACCTGTTGGGGAAAGTTCACATTCCGTGTTCCGTGTTTCCCACAAATTCCGAAATGAGTTCGTCCTTTAATTAAGCACTCCCAGTAGTTGCAACTATGTAACACTTTCGTAACTCGTAGTCCTTCATGAAGAGCTCAGGTACTGAATGCTTTTGCCGTATCTTACGTAAACCAACGTCTTTCGTCAATGTGGTCGACCGTAGGTTAGTGGTCGTACTGCACCGGCCAATTATATCTTTAGCAAATATACCGAGAAACCGCGCACTGGGCGCGCAATAAATGATAAAAATATCCTGTATACTCCTCTTTGTTCTAGCAATTTTCACCAAGTAACACAGACGAGAGGCAGAGACAGACATGGTATAGCACAGTTGCTTGCCTGCCTTTGCCCACTTGGCTGCGTTGCATCCGCCGCACCCAACGTCGCCTCCCTTGTCTGCTATAGCCGATTTTTTACAGGATGTTCCCAGCAATCCTTTCGGAGCCACGGAGGGCGCTTCACTTTGGAAAATAGCTAGTTCTCATCTACTGCGGAGACATCGGACGCCCCATGGGCCAGAGTAACTTCCTGCTGTCTTAACTTCCATACAACAAATCACTTTAAGCCGCGGACAGGGCGCTAAAACAGGGAGGCCGTAAAGACCGGCACATTTGGCACGTCTTCCAAAATTTGAATTCTAATCGTACACAGCTAAATCTGGGCACGCGAACGCCGTTCTGCAAAAAAAAAAAAAGAAATTGTCTATTTTTTTGGAGCTAGACTTAGAGCTGGTGAAATATTAAAAATAGTCCAAAAACAGCGGCCGTGCTTTTTTGTGTTCTACACCGGATGGTCGTCGTATGAACACTGGTTGTCTTGCTGCTATAGATGGTCATCGTTCATGTTTTTTTTCTTTAAAATGTTTACTTCTCTCGATTATCTTGGCCGTCGCCTGACTCTACTAGGCGTTCTCGTCGTTTTTGTGTTTAGCAGGCCACCCGGGAGCGAACTCGCAAACCAGTAAGCAGACAACGAACAGTCTGGTGTCGGACAGAAAATATGCGGCCGTCGTTATTGCTTCTTTTCAAATATTTCACCAACTCTGGGTTGACCTCTAACAAAATTTGACGAAACTTCTTGGGAAAGGACGTTCGCATGCCCAGTTTAAGGTATGTGCAGCCCCTGGAATGTGAAAGACCCATTCGCCTATGCAGTTCATGCGTTGGTGTTAAAGGGGCCCTCCGGAGCGTTCTGCGATGGTCTATTTATGGCGGTAACTCAATCTACATGCCCTAAGGATCCTAAAAATCATAAAATTACGGTCATGCGCGGCAGATTTCCCTCCTAAAATTGCTATCAAAGTCCCCGGTACGCCCCCCTTTCTGAGATGACCCCGGAAAACGGGAGGGGCATCTCTTTACGCGTCAGCCAATAGCAAGCGGAGGATTCCGGCGTCACTGCGCGTCACCAACGCGGCCGAGCGCCGACCCGCGGAGGAATCTCTCGCACACGCGCTGACCGTCGTCAAGGAACCCGAACTTTGTGCTCGGCAGTCGCCGTTCGTCGCACCGCAACGTCGCGCTGCTACTGCAATACGCAGTCGCATCCCACAGATGACAAGGAAAAGTTTGACTCGTTGACGTGAAAGGATCGCAAAGCTGGCTTCGGAGTCGGCATCCACGAGAAGAAGGAACATGTGGCCCGCACACGCATGCCTGCAGACGCCCCGGGAAGCAGACGAGCCGACGCGCCGACGCATCACCCCCTAGCAACAAGCTTGCGGGGAGAAAACATAGTTCGCTGGTTTTGGTGCGATAATTCCGGACTGTGTTCCCCGCACCACAATCAGTTTACGTTTTTCTCAAACTCTAATTTACAACAAGCTTAAAAAGTGTTTCAATATAACGTTCGCATTCACCGCTAGATGCAGCATTTCCATCGGTCAAGTTTTAGCGATGGGCAGGGAGTGGGGGATTGTCTTCCAAGAGAAAATAGTCCCGATATATTTCTTCTGCCATCTGCTTAATAAACGGTTTTGTAATCTAAAACTTTGTATACATATTAACTTGCACCTACTACGCAATATAACAACATAAACAGACGATCGCAGAGAGCTCCGGAGGGCCCCTTTAACTCCACGAATGTCAGACACACGAAGGCGAAAAACCAAGTGTTAATTTATTTTTTCGTACAAGAAAACGTTGTCCTTGTCAAAGTCAATTCGGCAGATTTAACTTAAAATGAGTTCTATGAGGTTTTTTTTTTTCTTTATATTGCTGGGGGAGGTTCGTTTGGAATTCGAATTTCGTAAGGCCGTATGTGCTAGCCTTTACGGCGTCACCCTGTATTCGCCTCGAGATCGAACCGTGTCGCCACCGTGCGGCCGAAATTAGAAACGCGCGAAAGCGGGGATACCGCCGTGCGTCGTCTGCTACGGGCGCACGCTCAGAACCATGGATCTCGATGACGCAAGCCCGTTTCAGGCTGAGCTTGACGTTACTTATTAAATGTTTTAGGTTTTTTTCGCCGTTTCTTTTTACTAAAGGTTGTGTTGTATCTTTTCCGATGCGTATAAATTTAGCAAAGCGATTATTATTAAGTCGGAAGCTTCCATATTCTTGAGGCGCATTCCCACCGGTGATATAAGCAGTCGCGGGAGGCGACTAGATCGCATCGCAAAAAAAATTAGATGGTCACACCGGCGTGTGCAATGAGCGAGTTCAGCGCCTTCGTTGGCGAGTCGTTTCTCGAAAACTCTCGCTCCGAACGCCATTGATTGGCTCAGCCGCTCTGCGACTAGATCGCATCGCAAAAAAGTCGGGTCGAGAAGCGACTGCTCAAATCGCGTCGCTTTTTGCCCGCGATGGTCGCTTTTGCGATGAAAGTTATCGCGCGACTAGATCGCATCGCTGGTGGGAACGCGCCTTTAGTGAGTTGGTTTGTATACAATCGCTGGTCCCACGTATTTTTATTATCTCGCACAAACCGTGGCTTTCATAAAGCATTGAACGTTGAGTGGGTATGTGGTTTGATTAGAAAATTAACCCGACTGATCGCTATCCTTTAATAGACTAATCAATCAATAAATCCGTATGTTGATTTTTTGCCTGGTCATATTGCGTGAAAGACGTTAAAACTACACATTTTTTCACTGGTTTTACTATGTCATAAATGGCATATTGCATTCCCATTGTAAACTTCACGTTGTGAGTCCTACATAAATATGAACACAGAAAGCCTTTTAAAATGAAGTACTTTTTAAAGTTATTATTTAAACAGTATAATCACCCTCGGTGAAATGACAAGCACGCTGAAGGGGTTTACCGTGCAAGCTTGTGTCAGAGAGGAAATAAAGACGTCAAAGTAAAAGCAGGCATTGTTTACTCCTTGTTGACTTTCTCCAGCACAAGACTCCAATTAACCGGCAAAAAAAATTGCAATTATAGCATTACTTGAATAATCTGAAAGTTAATCGATTAACTGTCCACTCCCGATATACGTTAGATGAGGGCGGAAGGTGATCGGAAAGTCTCGTGGAGGTCGCTAGCCTCATCAGTAAAAGAGTATCACTGCGGCCGATGCTGTCTGTGTCGTGGTGCGCGTCGTTTGTCGGTGTTGCAGAGTCTACTGTGTTTGGATGCAAGATTATTTAGCCAGAAATTTATAGTAGTAGCCTCTTGACATCCGCGGCCCTTCCCAACATATTGAAGCGGGTGAACCCACACTACCGAGAAAAGCATTTAATAACAGGAACACTGCTGTGTTGCTCGGTTACACTCGTTTATTACAGTCACGGCAGATATATTAGAACAGTTTGTTTCACTTGTCCTGCCAACCGTGTAGTTTGCAGAACTTAACTATAGAAGAGACACACTTTCCTCATCGCAACGCAGTAGAATTGTTCAGACTAGGGTGACCACCCGTCCCGCGACTCGCGGGACTGTCCCGCTTTGAGCGCTCGTGTCCCGCGTCCCACAAGAAGTTCCCAAATCTTCAAAATGTCCCGCATTTCACACTGTCGTAAAATTTGCTCTGCAACTCATGGGGCTGCTGGACAGCGGGGCACG